TGGGACAAGGCCGTACGCAGGAAATTTCTGTAGGCGGGGGCGCGGCGGGGCCAGGGCGCGCGCTGCAAAAGGTACTTCCCATCCTGCCTTGTGCCTAACGTTCGGATTTCCATTTCTTATATTACAATGTAATTTCTCTTTATATATAAGATACCTTTTGTCACATTCTATTCATTTCTAAAGTGCTACAGTATTTGTCCCATTAAAGGATACTCTGAAATCTCTAGGGGGCACTGCTGCTGCGCCCCCTGCTGCGTACGGCCATGGATATAGATAACAGCTCTTCTGTATCTAATTCTATTCTATTCAGATCTGCTATCTATTCTATATCTGGTATTATCTGATCGAAGATGTGCAGGATTCGGACACGAGTCACCAGTGTCGCTCAAGGTCGTTAGTCGTATCAGGCGTACTACAGATATTACCCGGGTACATATATGTAATACACAAGTGCTACCAGACTGTTTCTACAGAGTGTACATACCGACCTAACCTTAACCCTAACTCCTAACCCATCATACCTCTACCATGTACCCTACCTATACATATATATAAAATATAACATAATAGTAAACAACCTAAAATCTACCGTCGTACTTCGGGCGGAGGTTAATAAGCAAAGAGTTGTCTTTATTAACTCCTGATATCGGCTACCTGATTTACGACCCATCTGCGCCAAGCTGGTGTCTTTCCATGCCGCTTGCCCTCCTATACACGTCGTGACTAGAAATATCGACGGGTTTAACAGCAGTTAGCAGACGACCGTCACTTCAAATTTATGACATTTATGATTTCAAACTTAATGTTATAATCACAAAGTTATAGATACCTAGGACCGGACGAGGCCAGGAACGGCACAACTGTTATGATAATTAAGGCCGACTCGTCAGCCGGAGCGAAAGACATGGTCATGACCTGACCTAGTAAGGAGAAACAAGAAGGGTAATTAAGTGAGGGGGAGAACGCAAGTACGCCCTTTGACTCGAAAAGCAGAGGTCGCGCGCGGACGCTGGGTAGCTAAATAAGAGAGATTTAAGAAGAGGGAGATGATAGCAGTGTGCTGGGACCCAGTCGAGACGAAGCTGAACACAGATTCTCGACCAGTGGTCTTCATGTTAATGGTTACTCTTGTATGTAGATATAGATTTGTATGCAAGTTTAGATCATTTGGACTGGCGCTAGAGTGAGTACGGCGTGTACAGTAATGCGGTGATGGATATATGTTATAGCGTGGGTAGAGTATATGTGTCGCGAGTTAAAGAGTTTGTCATACCGCGCGTTATATTTCCGTTGTCGAGGATGCACAGGATAAGCGAAGTGGTAATGTAACGAAGGGAGAAGACAGCGCTTTGTAGTAAGGCGCAGGTAGTGTTACTAAAATACGTACTGTAATAACCGAATGTGGGTTGGGATTGTATTCGTGCGGTTGATTGGAGGGCTGTATTAATTAAGATGGTATTCATCGTGTGTATTTCTATTTCCTGCGTCTCCGTTTCTACAGTGGTCTGTATCTTATATATCTCGAGCGGGGTCATTCCTTCACAGGTACCTAATTATAATACGATCACGCCGTCGCGCGGCGGGCACGCGGTAACACACACACAATATATTATATATACTTATATATATTATATATATATATATTATATATTATATATGCATATATATTATGTACATCAGGAATGCGAGCATCAAAATGCAGTAAAGCGATTCATGTTAACGGCAGGGGGCAGCACGATGTGAATTCTGTAGCTCAGACTACTGGCGTCTGCTCGGCGCTGCTGGCGCCACGCTGCGGACGTCTACGGCCGTAACAGCTCGCGCTGATATCTTGCTATCCAGTTCACGTCGGCGCGCCTGTGTGTGTGTGTGCTGTAGGTGTAGGTGTGTGTGATTTTCCTCTATGCTGGGAAAGTTCAGATCTAAAGAGAGTAAGAGAGAGAGAAACACAGAGCAACATACAGTCAGACAAGCAGACATACATACAGACGGACGGACGGACGGACGGACAGACATACAGACGGACTGACAGACATACCTACGGGCGGACACGGACGAACGGACAGACAGAATGACGGGCTGAGGGACCGGGTGTACAGATAGGGAGAAAGACGGACAGACGGTCAGGCGGGCAGAAAGAAGAGGTGCCTGAACCTGAACCGGAATCAGGCATAGTATATTTCCGTGCGTACATTCAAGTCGAGTTTGTGTTCTGCGTCAGTCCTACACTAACACACAGCGATGTGGATCAGGAGAGGCAGACTGCAGGATAGCGGCTAGAGCTCCCTCTACCGGCAACACGGTGCCGACGTCGACAGTAAATGAAAGGCAACAGCAGTAGTAGCAGCAACCATAGCAGCAGCAGCAGCAGCAGCAGCAGCAGCAACAACAGCAGCAGCAGCAGTAGCAACAACAACAACAACAACAATAACAATAACAGCAGCAGCAGTAGTAATAGCAGCCAGCCAGCAACAGCAAAAAAAACAACATCAGCAGCAGCAGCAGCAATAACAACAACGACGACAACAACAACAACATCACCACCACGAACAACAACAACAACATCATCACCAGGAAAAACAACATCGACGACGACACCGATAAAAAAGAATTCACCACAGCGCCCCCTGCCGCCGACATGGTTGAACCGATCTATGACTACCAGTTCCGTCTGATCCTCGTCGGCGATTCTACGGTCGGCAAATCAACGCTGCTGCGATATTTCTGCGACGGCAAATTCGACGAGTCGTGTGACCCGACCGTCGGCGTTGACTTCTACTCGCGCCTCCTGGAGGTGAAGAAAGGAGTTAGAGTGAAGCTTCAACTGTGGGATACGGCGGGACAAGAGAGGTTCAGGTAAGGGGAGGGGGGAGGCGTGAAGGAAGGGGAGGGGCACGCGAAAGAGAAGAGGGAGAGGGACTTAGAGAGCTTTCTAAATCTAATATCTAAATTTTGGAGTTTCATACCTCCGTGTTATTTATTATTATTATTATTATTATATATATATAGCTATATATATATATATATATATATACACTATACATATATCATCATATACCGACTGATATATACATATATGATCTTTTATATATACGCACACCCATACGCACGCACACACACTACAGACGCACGCACGAACAGACGGAGAGCCAGCTGGTATCGACCTGACTGTGAATGAGACGTAGACCTACAGATTTTATTCCGCCTTGAATAATGCGAGGAAATTTAATAACAACCTCAGCAACCTGACATTTAATCTGCAAAGAGCGGGATGTGGAGCCGTTATGGGGAGATCACGCGCAAGCTACGCAACGCACGCACGACGCACCGCACGGCAACGCACGACACACACGACAGCGCCACACGACGTCACACGCGCGCGCGCACATTCCCCACACACCCACCACACAGGATCAAGCGGCACCACACACACACTCACACACACTGCGTACCTGCCTGGCGTACGGGTGGCGGGCGTGGAGAGGCTGCCTGCGTACCTGACCATACGTGCGTGCCCGCGACCTGCCTGCGTACGCTGCCTGCGTACGCCCGTACCTGCATACCTGGTGCCTGTGTCCCTGCCTGCGTACCTGCCTGCGTACCTGCCTGCGTACCTACCTGCGTACCTACCTGCGTATCTGCCTACGTACGCTTGCCCATACGTACCTGCGCCTGTGTATCGCTGCCTGCGTACCTCGCCTGCGACCTGCTTGCGTTACAGGCTGCCTGGTACCCTACCTGCGTCAAACCCACCTAACGGTACCTTGGACGCTACCTACGTGACCTGCCTGCGTACGGTACCTACGAACCTGCCGTACCGTACCTCCTACGTACCTGCCTACGTACCTACCTGCGTACCTGCCTGCGTCCCTGTCTGCGTCACGCCTGCCTGGCGTACCCTACCTGTCGCGCAGCGTGAGTCCGCGCGACAGGCTGGCGACCATGCGGCGCACTGTGGTGATTGTAAAGCTCAGTGGTACAAATACGTGAACGCGTCCTAGCTCGTGCCGACTGAACCTAGAGTGAACAGGACATGCGTCTAATAACAGAGGAATTGCTCCGACGCATAATGATTCGGACGAATAAAAATAGACCACCCCCACTTTTTCCAATTTTTGGAGGATAAAAATAATTTCGTGACGTTTCGGTTTCACCGGTCATAGCGGCCGCCGGCGTCATATCTCTGCTCTAATTAATTCGACTAATCGCGCTTCCAACATAGAACTCAAAATACTCAGCACGATTAAGGCTGAAGACATGTGCTAGTAATGGCTGAGAAATTTATCAGACATCGTAACTCAAATCCGTCGCGCGGGTCCAATGAGATAGTTACGTACCGAGGCCCGTTCCCTACGCTCACTTCGAGCATCAATGCGCTCTCACCAAGCGCGGCGAGTGGCCGGGTCTAGTTTATCCCTCCCACATCACGCCAGGTCCGGAACGCAATCTACCTCTGTTTAGACGCATGCGAACGCAGAGCTGGTCGCACTGAGACGGCAGATAGACGGATGGATGGTCGAACTGAGACGGCAGATAGACAGATAGACATAGATGATAGGAGGAGGAGATATAAGATGAAGACATTATATGAGGAGATATAAGAGGATGAGAAGATAGAGTGGAGGAGATATAAGACAGGAATAGATAACGTGAGGGAGAAATATAAGCGGAAGAAGATCAGATGAAGCGAAAACAAGAGGAAGAGATGGGATGAAGAGAGATAAAGAGGAAGAGATGGGAATGGATAGAGATACGTAAGAGAAGAAGATGGATGAGTGAGATAATAAGAGGAAGAGATGGGATGCATGAAGATACTAGAGGAAGGAGATGATGATGTAGATATAACAGGAAAGAGATGGGAATGAAGATGATATAAGAGGAAGGATGGGAGAATGAGATATAAGTAGGAATTTAGATGGGGAAGATGAATATAAGAAGACAGAGATGGATGCATGAATCATAAGGAGCAAGAGATAAGTGAGGAGATATAAAGAGGATCCGGAGCGGATGATGAGATATAAGCAGAAAGAGATAAGTGGAGAGATATTAAGAGGATGAGATCAGATGAGGCGATACAAGAGGAAGAGTTTGGGATGATGAATATAAGAAGAAGAGATGGGATGGATGAGATGATAAGAAAAAGGAAGAGGATGGGATGATTTTGAAACAAGATGGAAGAGATGGAATCTGATGAGATATAAGAGAATGAGATAAGTGGAGGAGATATAAGAGGATGAGATAAGATGAGGAGATATAAGAGAAAGATATAAGTGGAGGAGATATAAGAGGAAGAGATAAGATGATGCGATACAAGAGGAAGAGATGGGATGATGAGATATAAGAAGAAGAGATGGGATTATGAGATATAAGAGCAGAATATAAGCGACCTGCTATGAGCACGCCTGTTACTACAGCACGTGAACGCAAGGCTGGTCGACAGACGGACAGGCATAGATGATAGAAGAAGGAGATATAACAGGCGGAGATATAATAGGCAGAGATATAATAGGATGAGATATAATAGGATGAGATAAGTGGAGAATATAAGATGCGGAAATATAAGAGGAAGAGATGGAATGAGCAGATATAAGAGAAAGAGATAAGTGGAGGAGATATAAGAGGATGAGATCAGATGAGGCGATACAAGAGGAAGAGTTGGGATGATGAGATATAAGAAGAAGAGATGGGATGATGAGATATAAGAAGAAGAGATGGGATGATGAGATATAAGAGGAAGAGATGGAATGATGAGATATAAGAGAATGAGATAAGTGGAGGAGATATAA